TTTTTTTTTTTTGGCTAGTTCTAAAAAGCGAGGTAGGGACGTTATACAATCTCGTTGTTTGTATCACGAGATGATTTTGTAACAGCGAATACTGGAAAATACTTTTCAGCGTATTTATTTATTTCCCCCAGACAGTGCGTCGTGATGTTTTGCAATGTAGTGTGGTGTTATTCCAGAATATTTTCAATTGCGCGTCGAAGTAAACAATTTTTAGCTTTTGGTTGAATCTGGTTTCTCTCTCATTTGTATAAACAAGTTCTTATAAATAAATGGTAAAGAGAAACAAGGCGGCAACACCGTACAAATGCATAAGCATACGTAGTTATTGCTACATTGGGAGAAATGTTTATGTTTTCATAAAACCTAATTGACTCCTTTTGCAGTGCTCTAGAGGGCTTAGGATGAGATTAAGTGGCATAATATTTCTGAATTCTCTAAAAGGTATCCATTATAATATATCTATTAAAACTTTTTTTTAATGCATCTTCAAAGAGTTTTTGCTGCTGTTTTAATTTCACAATGTTGTGAACTCACCAAACTATTTACCTCTCATAAGTAAGCCGATTTGGGGGGGTTTCCTGGGGCCTAAAGATATTGAGTCTATCCTTTAGAAGTCTTTTTAAAATTTAAGTTATTGACTTCTCGTGCCTTCACATTGTGAAAGATAGATGAAAACAGAAATGCTCTTCTCAGATTGTCAGGGCTTGCTTTCATCCTTCAAAGTTTACTTTTACTTGTGCTTGTAAAATTTGAATGCAAACTCTTGATCGTGCACAGTGTTCCCTAGATTAAACTACTTCCCCCTTTGAGGCTGTCTGGCAATATAAGGCCCAGTTGTCCATGGTTACCAGGCTCTTTTCAGAATGTAAACAAGCAACTGTAGAAATGTATCAATGTTGTTTTTGAACTTGTCCAATCGATAGAAACAAAGACTGTTTTTTATATAAACAAGCAAAGTTCTGTTATATAGGGTGACCATATACTTTGTTGTCCAAAATCAGAATATGCTTGACAATGAGATCGCTATAATACTTATACTGATAAAACAAAAACAAACTCATAGATACAGAGAACAGATCGGTGGTTACCAGAGGGAAAGGGGGTGGGGAGCGATGGAGATCAATTGCACAGAGATAGATAGGGACTAGGCTTTTAGGGGGGTGATCACTTTGTAGTTTATACAGAAAAATTATAATATTATAAACCTGAATCTTTTATATGTATATGTTTATGCTGGGGCAACTGGCTTAAGCCTTGAGCACCCAGGACACATGATCACTCAGTTGTACCTAAGCATAAACAATTAGAATAACACAGAATCTTTAAAAGTCCTTAGAAACATCGAAGGCTCAAACTTGAGCAGCACCTAGAGTATGTGAGTATGCATGCGGTAAACGGTCCCAGTGGGCTTTTCTCCAGCCATTCTTGGCCTTTTTAGTGCCATCTGTAATAGCCTTTACTTAACATATAACACATGCATGGAGGACTGGTGTAAAGCTGGTCTGGTATTTAAGTGCCAACTAACCTACCTCTCTCTGTAAACAAAGCCTCTGTTCTCAGTAGTTTCATTGTGTTTGCTATTATTATTGTTGTTGTTGTTGTTGTTGTTATTGTTTAGTTCTTATTTTGTGCAGGCTCTGTGCTGAATGTTTCACACACACATTATCCACTCAGTCTTAGGAGGTGGATATTAATATTATCCTCATTTTACAGAGGAGGAAATTAAGGCACAGAGAAGTTAAGAATTTATCTAAGGATACTCGATGGGGTTGGAGACAGGCTTGGGCCTCCAGAGCTCCAATCCTACCATACCCGGCAGTCTCCTTACATTTTTCTGATTTTTGATTTTTAATGAGTCATCAAATATATGAACTACTTGGTAACCGAGCCTGGAAGCAACAGTTAAACATTATGTCAGTATCGCTCTTTATCAGTGGTAACTCTTTTAGAGGTTGGTTCTGATGGAGTTCAGTGACTTTCAAAAAATATATTTTGGGGAAGAGAATTTAACTTACAGCCTCAGCAAGAGACATTCTCAGCAAGAGACGTTCTTTTTTTTTTTTTTCTTTTTTTCCTCCTAAGAAATTTACTCTGGGGAAGCAACGGGTGTGTTCAGGACTCGAGTTGAAATGCCTTTTGTCACCTCATATACATTTTGGTTCTGTGTCAGGGCGAAACCGGAGCCCTGGTGAAGTTCTAAATTCAGGCTGGATGAATCCCCAAGGGGAGCTGGGTGGAGGGAGCGTCTGTCAGGAGGGCTGAGCTCCTTCGGGAAAGACTGCCAGCTCCGGGCCTCAGAGGCCTGAAACCTCACCTGAGCTCCTGTTGTGTTTTAAAAAACTCTTTGAGGCTCATTGGTTCAGTGAGAAGTGATGCTTAGCTTTGGAAACAGAAATATTTATTACTAGATCTATGTCTTTGTCGATCTACAGATAGAAAGATGACTACAATGTGGTCTCCAATATAATTTCAAATTAATATATCATATGTAAACAGATGAATTACAGTGGTTGAGAGGAAGTAAAAATTACTTCCAGCCAGGGGAGGGAGATAGGAAAAGAGTTCCCAGAAGAGGTGATATGGAGTCGAGTGCAGTTGACAGGGCAACTTTGTGAGTAAAGACACAGATGTATGGAGTTACGCAGGCACGTTCCGAGGTGAAACATTTGGTTCTGTTGTAACAGAGGGCCCAGAAGGAGAAAAGTGGAGGCTGAAACAGGAACAGGTGGCTGTGTCATAGGCCAAGGACAGGGACTGTGTGCTGGAAGCCATGGGAAGACTTGGGGGGCTCTAGAGCTGGGAATGACAGCATCAGAGCTCTGCTCTGGGCAGTGGTGAGCAGGGGAGACCATCACCTAGAAGGCTCTTTGCAACAGTCCTGATGTGCACTCATGAGGGTAGGAAAAAAATGGAAAGGCCTGGAAACATACAGGAGACCCTCGGGAAGAATACTCAAAAAAGGAGAAATAAGAAAAGCCCCAGAGCTAAGGAACCAGAATGAAAACAAGCATCTCAGTGTTCCACTTCCCTAAGCCCCTCAAAATATCAAGAATATTTTCACCGTCTCCCTCCTATCTTATCCTGCTTGTCTCTAATAAGCCTGATCCTGCTCTGTACTTAGGGAAAATGCATGCGAAGTGTACCGGCAGCACCGTCATCTCGTGGCCACACCTTAAAATTATGACCCTCACAGCTAATAATTGCTCTCAAGAAATCAAATCATGTTTTTAACAACCAGTGTAAATGCATTATCATGGGGGCGTGTTCCTTGCACTAAATAAAATAAGCTTGCCTCTTATTATTATTACTTTTTTAAAGCAGTTCTATTCTACAAAACCAACAATGCGTGTAAGAGTCTCCTGTTCTGAAGGAAACACACACACACACACCCACACACACACACACTCAGATCTCCTGTGAGCAAGCCTGAGGCAGTAAGCAGCCAGGTGTCTGATCCCAGCAGCCGGGTGTCTGATCCGGAGGGAATTCGCCTTGCCCAGGTGCACAGATACAGGCCTGGCCCTCAACAGGTTACAGAAAAAACTCAGCGGTAACCCGAGGGAAAAAATGTCACTTTCTAACCATTCAGTACAGAGTGATCTTTAGAACAAAGTGAAAAAGTAGACTTGCGCGACTGCTACATTTTTTTCCCCTTTTCTCTAACTTGTATAAATATTTGAAATCATGCTGCAGACAGATAGACATCACGTGACCTGGGATGGCAGTGTCAACACAGAGCTGTCATTCCAGTGAGTTTTCTTTGATGTTTGGCCCGGGTGGCTGTTGGCTGATGGTGCATTTTGCAAATTGACCTCACTGGCAGCAAGGAGGACTGGTGTTTCTCCTTGAGTTAGGTAACACTCGGAAGGGATGGGAATTTGTAACCAGGGTATGCTGTTGAAATGCTGGTGCTTCTACGAGGACTGTCTTCGCTACGAAACCTCTTGCACTTTTCTACCTGGGGCCTGTGCACACCTACCTGGTTAGAGGTACCTGAGCCCACCATCGGCAGGGAAGAAAGGGATTTCTGCTGGTTTGCCCATCTGGAGAGAAAAGGAATGGAAAGACTTGGGGCCAGACTTTCAGCATTCAGAAGCACGTTCAGAGCCGTAGCGTTTCCTGCAAGACACGTAGCACTGACTCCCTTGCCTGTAGGATTGGCCCTTAGGAGATTGCTGTGAAGTTTAATTTAGAGAAAAGGACATGTAACCCAGTGCCAGATGCATAGTAGATACACAAACTTTTCCTTCTCTGTATATCAATGTCCTCTCCGTTACATTGGCTAAGACCGACAAGACAGATGCGGCATGCTCCATTGTCCAGATGGCATTTGAACAAGAGTTGGACCAGAAACTCGTCCAGCACAAATGTCGAAGGAGATGGGAGGGCACAGCAGCCCAGGCTCTTCTCTTCCCTACTTCTTTTCCTTTGGAAAGTCTCTTTGTCGTTTTCCTGTTTGGGTCGTTTCATAGAAGCG